AAGCAGAGTTGTGAGATGGTCATGCCAAATTATATGAACTTTATAATTTGTGTTTAGGTTTACAAAAAAAAGTAGTAAAAAAATGTTAAGAGCACTGACTGATATTAGGTTGTAGCATATTTATTTCCAGTGAATGAGGCTTTGAAATTRCTTTTTCAAGATTTTACAAGAAGCAGAGAGGCGGTCCAGACTTACAGAGTTGACTGAGACATKAACACCTGCAGCACAGATATCTGCTGTACTTTGTGGATGACAATGATTGGTACAAGTTTTTGCCTTGAGTCCAAGTAATTCTAATGATAATAATTCTAATAATTAAAATGGTCATTTGCGATCAGAAGTTCGAATTTCTGAGTTCCTAATCAATAAAATGAACTGGAGTCTTTTTCARTGACAGAATTCCAATTGAATGTCAGAAAATCCCGACCAGCCCCTACTTCCAAATCCAATATGGCTGACTCATTTGTAATAAAGCTTTTTTTAGATTTTGTTCACAGGCACAGTACACTCCAAATGAACAACTGCTGCAGATCCTCTGGATGGGTTCTTCTTTTTTTTGAGTTCACCTGAAACTCATCAGACTGAAGAAGTCTCTTGGAGGAGAGACGAAACGTTTCTCTAAAGAAGAACCCATCCAGAGGACCTACTTATTTTTTTATTTGATTTTTTTCTTCCTGGATTACTGAGATGCATCAGGACAAACTGCTGCAGAGTTTGAATGAAAATGTATTATCGGCAGTTTCTTATGATAGTTAGCCTGGTTACAGGTTTTCTGACTTGCAAACACAACACAATTAAGTTGGGTCTGATTTCATCCAACAGATTTGAGTTCTGACTTTCGAGGTGACTGGATCACAGCRTTAGACTCACAACATGAGGAGCACTTTCTGAGCAGCAGCTGTGACTGTGAACACTTGAGCACAAGTGGTGTTACAGTTACAGAATTTGTTAGCTATAAACGCTAAACGGTCCACTAAACCACCAGAAGTTGTCAGATGKCAGATCTTGATGTCATAATTCGAAACTGTTTTTTTCTCATATATCCTGATAGATTATGACCTGTTTTTTATATCCACACATTTCTCACAAATCCTGGTAAGTTCTGCAGCACATCACAATCAGAATCAGCTCAGACAATGCTGTTGACAGAGCATAYGTTTATTTTCAGAACAGCAAACGTTGCTTTGCTTAAAAAAACAGATTTTTGCTTGTAGCTTGATCAGGGAGTGCAGTAATGTCTCCACCATTATTAAAACCTGGCGCAGGTCCATTCTGGGTGCTCAGACATTTGTACAGATTCATCACAGAAGTAGAACTTCTTTGTTGTTTTTTTAAGGAAAGTTTACATCTCTGCGCATGTCAGTGCTTCTAATCTGAATAAAAGCCTGGTGTATGTAAACGCTTGTCATGATCTGATTAATTAATTTTGTGCCCATGTAAACGATACATTCRGATTATTTATTTCAAACACATTTCAAACCAATCAAAGAATTTTATGCATGCAAACATAGCTAATGAGTATAAATCGGGATTAAAAGTTGCAGCTTCTGTAAAAGCAGTTACGTGAAAATCCTAAAATCTCCATTATGTACAGTGAAGCCCCACAACGTTGCTTTGCACAGTTTGCAGATTCAGTTGTTTGTGGATTTTTTCATAGAACTCAACTGCCTGTATTTTGCGGAAATAGCTCTAATATTGCAGAACTGGAAATACTGCGCTGTAAGGAATGTCAACTTTTTTTTTTTTTTTACTTTTAACGGTACCGTGTGGTGTGTAGCTGCTGTTTAGCTCTACTGTGTGTTTTTGTTTGTTTCTTATAGCATTGATGCCACCCCAATCTTGCTGTAGGCCTTTTCTGGACCACATCCAATATTTACATCTTTTCGTGATTTGGAGGAACTCCAAGGATGTGGCCCTTGTGGAAATCGGGGCTTCACTGTACACCAAAATTATTAAAGGGATCCCCTATTAGTTATAACATTAGACTTTATTTGATRAACATTTATTTTATTTATTTACACACAAAGCATTCTGGGTAAATGATGACGTGGATAGGTCCTCGGTGTGAGCGAGCTATATCCACCCTGAAGGTTAATCTTGGACAATATCTGCCCATCAGCTCATTTAAATGAAACCAGAGAGCGTTGACAGAGAGGAGAAGGTAGAAATGACTCAGCCTGYAACTGAAAATATGGATGGAGGACAACAGAGCTGCTTCATGGAAGAAGAACCTCAGCTTAGCCTGTTAGCTTTTGTGCTAGTGCCGACATTGTATTGCCTTATATGTATTAGCTCGGTGCTAGCGTGACAAACAAGCTAAACTGAGGTCCTCCATCCATATTTTCAGTTACAGGCTGAGTCATTTTTGTGTTCCCCTCTCTGTCATGTGGATGGAGGACCTTAGTGACAAGAGGAGAATGTGTAGCACTAAGCTAATACATATATATGGTGAAAGTGTCGAGGCTAACGCTAAAGTTAACAGGCTAAGCTGAGGTTCTTCTTCCATGAAGCAGCTCTGTTGTCCTCCATCYATATTTTCAGTTCCAGGCTGAGTCATTTCTACCTTCTCCTCTCTGTCAACGCTCTCTGGTTTCATTTAAAAGAGYCGATCATCAGATATTGTCCAAGATTAACCTTCAGGGTCGATATAGCTCGCTAGCAGCCTCGCACAGAGGACCTATCCACGTCATCATTTACCCAGAATGCTTTGCATGTAAATATAATGGTTCCATCCGTGTAATATATTTTTAAACTTTTAATTTAAAACTTATAAAAACTAAACAGCCTACAGTATTTTTACAGTCTTTATTTCACAGTTAAAATATATGTTTATCAAATAAAGTCTAATGTTTACACTAATCTGGGATCCCTTTAATGCTAGAATTAACAGATCAAGAAGCTGWTACTGCTGACTTCCAGAGAGACTTAAACTCACTTATTTTCTTTTTGTGGTAACCCTGCATTAAAGCAGTATCACAGCTTTTACAATCTGCACACTCCTGATCCAACAAACCCAGGCACGRMYTCACCTAAAATTACAACTGAAGTTCCAAACTCCTACCTTGAAGCTGCTTAGCAAAGCAGTAGACATCAAACAGCTCATCAGGGGACCTATAGCCGTAGTTACGGACACCAGGTGAGTCCTCACAATCACCATAGCAACCAGGTCGAGGTGATTGGATGGGGTACCTGCAGAGGGAACAGAGAGCAAGAGACAAAGACAGAGAGAGGGAAAGTAAAAAGAGCAAGATTTATGTGGCTTGGCCAAGAAAACAGCAACCACAGAAAGACTTGGGTCCCACGGGACAGGTCCACGCTCACAAGCAGGAGAAGAAAGCCAAGCAACACTTTTATCATTTTCTGCCCTGAATACTGTAAAWTTTAAAGAAATCTTCTTAGAAAAGACTTCCCAAAACATATATTCACAAATACACCAGACTGGTAAATACAGTGATACTTATTTCCAACTATAACATCAAGACTATTAAGCTTTAATCGAGAAATTTGTTTTTTTTTTAATTATGCATTCCCTAATGTGAGCTTAGCAGCATAATTACCCAAGTAGTTTTCAAATGATTCAAATGTTCTACTWGTATGAGAATGTCAAAAATGCTCAAGTTGTTTGTGAAAAACAGAGAAACGAAGAGGTGAGAAAGGGAGGTGAGAAGTCAAGGCGAGGTTAAAAAATCCAGAATCCTTTTAGTAACTTGGCACACTGGTGGGRCTGGGAAGACCAATCTATATCTGGRCCTCGCCGAAACAATTATTCTTGCAGAACATTGATTCCGACTGCACCAAAGCACAGGCAAAGAGGCTGATTAAAAGATTATGCCAGGCACACAGAGACTTAAAAAGTGCTTGGAAAARAATCGCACAGTTAACTACACACAAATACATATGAGCACCAAGCATGCAATTCTCCTTTAAATGTAATTAGCTTTTTTTTTCAGACAAAATAAGACAAGTCATCTGAGTCTTGCAGAGTCTGCTGCTTTTTTTCTGTATGTTTTCTTGTGTATTAAATGGGTTATTTCCTCTTGACTATCTGAGCCCTCTGAATCTGGACTAATTAGATATATTCCAGGTGAAAACAACAGGAGCAAAACATGGAGAAACAGAGACAAAAAATCAAGAGGATTATGAAAGTAAATAAGATGAAACCGCTGTGAATGTGTAGTTTTGATTTGAGCAGCTGTAGTAAAAAATATGAGCCTGTAAATATTAAACAATACTTTCTGAATGTGAACTTACGGAACAAATGTCTACAAATGTGTAAAAATTTCATAAGTAAAATAAGATTTAAAGACTTATAATTTATCATTTATTTGTGTGCATTTTTTTATTTGTGTCTCTTTCTAATACAATAGCAACTCAGAGGTTACAACTTTTAAAAACTGCTGCCAAGTGTGCTCATAACCAAAGTAGCTTATACACAAGTGTCCTTTCAGAGAGTATACTACAGTTTACATTTTGTGTACTTATCAGAGTTTGTGTACTAAACTAAATTTACGTTACCCATACTTGGCCCATACTAAAAATACTGGATATCAAAATTAAACTAGGTAAGTAAAAGTACACTTGGGGAAATATACTTTACTGTACATAAATATACTCAATGACGTACTCCTGCACATGTGATTTTGCAACACGTTTTGTTAGTTGCTTGTTGCCACAGAGTTATATAAGACATCTAGAGTGTGCACAGTTGGGATTAACTAAGTGGGCAAACGTATGTGTCATGAATTTTGGTAGATATTGAATAAATATCCCTGAGTATGGGCTGACTATGTAAATCATCAACGTAATATAATGATAATATATTATTAGAATGTACAGTATATAAGCTACAGAATGTATGTGAAAATGCCACAAAGCTGTGTGTGTGTATGATGAAATACAAGTCTGCAGCTTTTATTCCATTTATGTAAATTTAATTTTACACATTTGTAACTGTTTTCTGGATTCTATTTTCAGAAACTATTTGTGTAAAGCTTTTGTTTGCAAGAAAAAAATTTAAATACAAGTGCACTTTTATTTCTATTTTTATTTTCTGCTACAGGTGCTCAAATAAAAACTACAAGTTTATGGGTTTTGCACCATATTTACCGCCATAGGAAAGAAAGGAGTTCCATGTGAAGATTGGGAAAATAAATCTGCCTCACAAATGAAGCAGCAGTAACTTCAAAATAAAACACAGATATGGCTTTGACAGGTGAGATCTTGCTTTGAGAAGGAAATAAAAAAGGCACAGTGAAGCATACCATCATGCAGACAGCTTCCAGGTCCTTCAATCTATTTCCAGTTGTGAGACAAGCAATACTGTTCAATTTTAGGTTTATCAACAGTTTTAAACATTTTTTTACTTCCATACCCTATACTTTTTGTTTATCAGTTTTTCTGGTTTGATCTGATCAAACAATTACACTGTGAGACAGATTCTTTAAAGACAACTTAAAGCAAAGTCAACATGCTTCAAATACTTTCAAAGTCACCAAGATTGGTAATTATCATTTAGACCCTGACTGTCACAYGTAGCTAATTGTATTATGCCTCCTGATTATAATGGATGAATGTTTTACCTAAAAACAGATCAATTCACATATTACATACAGAAGGGAAGCTTTGCTATAGAAAGATTTAAATAGTATTTTATTTGTTGTCATGACAACTCCAACCCTGACAAGATGGTTTTCTTAAACCTTTTTTCTTGACACTTATGTTGTTGACAAATGATGTTAGCCAAAATATACCTCCTCCTTGTACATCTGTAACATGACAGATTATCACAGATTTAGGTAACCRTATTTTGCAAAGGGAACGTAAACAAAATATCTGTTGTTAACTCCAGACGCGTTCGGCACATGCAACAGCTGTTTTTGTTCCGGTGCAGAAATATCGAGGATGTACAGAGCATTGCACATTGTCATCTATTCTGTTTAGTTTTAAATGCTCCCATGCTTTTTATAACTTGTCGTTTTCTGAGCACTTCTTTTTGGCACTCTTCGTTTTCTTCTAAAGCTAAMTATAGCGCTTAGCAAGCATACACACGTGACGCGTCGACAGTGTAAACTGTTAGCGCAAGCGCTAACGTCATAGCATTGTGTAACAGAAATAACATTCCAGGCAGACAAAAGTGTGCTGATTATAACAGTATGTATTTTTTTCCAATGCTTCGAGGTAGATAATTTACCTCAAGGATTTTTTTGTAATCGAATTACTCGACTCATTCGAGGAATCGTTTTAGCCCTACTATGTTCCCTAAAAACTGACTCCAAAGTGAACACATACAAAGTAAAAAGTACCTTTTGAGAAATCCCAGGACAAAAGCTAGAACTGAATGTTTGAGATTTTTTTTTCTCCTCTACTTGCAATAAATTCAAACTTTGTCTCACCGTACTGTCTGGTCCGCCAGCCAGCCAGCATCACAGTTGTCATAACCATCAGCAAAGGTTGCCTGAAGCTGACCAGGAGTTGCAATGACAGCRGAGTTCTCCACGCAAACCCTCTTGGCGTCGGCGAAGGACAAGGCATAGCGGTCATGAGGGGCTCGGTAGTGGAACACAACACCTTTGGAAAATAAATGTAAAGGTGAAAACAGATCTGCTGGGCACTCCAAAAAAAAGTATTCACATGAATGTCTGACCTCCAGCCTGTAAATCACAATTTTTTTATGAACAGCAACCTTGAGTGATTAAACATGAGCAGGTCCTTACTCTGAGGTCTATAAACAAAAAGACCTCCTCATCATGTACATTGTTCTGTCTGTGCAGGACAACTCACCTGCGCATGTTTCTCATCTGCATCACATACTGTAAATGACTTATTAAGGAAAAGAAAAAAAATGCCCTTGGATGCAGTGGATGACAAACAGTGAGGATGTTTATTTTCCTGCTTTAGAAGCAGCTCTGCTCTGCCCTGCCTGCCTCTGCATTCTTGATGGAATGACATAGAAGGCAGACAAAGAAACGGAGAAACACTGCATTTAAGGGTCATGTTACTGAGTAACCAGGACATAAAAAAGTAAAGAAGAGGCAAGAATACAAAGAAAAGATTGGTAAATATGAGAAAGACTAAAGATTTCCTTAACTACAGAAGGGGCATATCTTCCTTCTATGTGGGAATAGATAAGCTTCAGATCTGTCCATCAAAGTCACATCTGTGCCTGACATTCACATGTCCCCGAGGACACTTGTGGTGTCATGCAAGCTTGTGGGCTTCTAGCTGCTGACACTACCCCTTCATCTGCTCTGACTTTGTCTGGGAAAGTGAGTCATTCCTGWGAGAGGGATGGTGAATTGGCAATTTGAGGTTCACCACTACAAGCTTTGGCTAAAGAARTTAATTCTCTTATTGCATTTATATTCTTCACTTTTTCTTATCAGCTATCCAAAATGTAAATTCTCTCTGTTTATCTATTATTTTTGTATTACTTGTCCTTCTATTTCAGTCTCCATWCACTTGCCTTTGAGGCTGTAGGACCTTGTCCAAAAGGGACACTGCTTTGCTGGAAAGACAAATACATTTCCTTTCTGTACTGGGAAGCCAGTCCTTTTCCACAGGAGGTTTGAATGCCCAGTTTCTTCATCTCTATTTTTACTCTCTGCATCTTTGCACATCCTTTCACAGTCTCCAGGGGAAAGGGCAGAAAAGCACCATATGTGACTAAATGATGCCCTCATTTTAGCATGGTGAGTAGTAGTTAGTATCCCTTGGCTCTTGATAAAAAAAACTGAACTAAACCGACTTCATGACAGTTTGTTTAAAAAAAAAGATAAAATTGAATTCGTTTGTGTTGGTGCACACATAACAACACTGAGGAAATACCCAACCAGAAACATTCTTGTWAAAAAAATTTGAGTGCTAAAAATAATTGGGTAACAGCCACATTTGATGGAATGACTAATTAGCTGTTAAAAATGAATATAAATGTATTTATATGTGTTGGTAAAAAGTCAAAGCTTAAATAGTCGAGAAACATCTAGAAAATGTACAATAACTTTTAAATCTTTTAAAGTTCTCATATAGCAATATTTTGTTTAGTGCTTACATTGATCAAAATATTAAAATGTAACAACAAGTACTGGTATCCTGAGTTTGATGCCTATTTTTTAATGGTGGGCACAACTAACCAGAATATTAGCTACTCACACCTTCACTGCTACTTAAATGTCTTAGTGTCACTAACAAAAAAAGCTAAATTAGTAGAAACATGGCAGAGGCTAATGCTAAACCATAACTATTTAAAATATTAAAGTGTGACTAACCCCTCCTGCGAAAGCATAACTCCACCCCCAGGCAAAATTGAAAAATGCCAACAAAGTGGGCSGTGCCAAGAAAGACTGAGGGGCACGGCCAAGTGTGGGGATGAGAGAGGAGGTGTAATCAGGACAAGGGAACCTGATCTTATTTTGTCTTATTTGTGACAAAACAAYAATGAACTACAACAGACTTGAGGGAAAACTACAGAATATAGAACCAGAACATCCAGCTGTATGAYACTTAAGATGAGAGAGCAGGAGGACTGAGAACATTRMGCTAACCCCTAATTTWCACTWCATGCGGTCCGGCTCCACTCCGGTCTGACCTCCGCAGCAAATACACACCCATTATAATCAATAAGAGTATTTACACTGRCTCCGCACGGCGGCGGTGAGCGGGCGGCGACCCGACAAAATTAGATCTGACCCTATTTCTGCCAGAGCTGGGCTGAAGTCATTTTTTAAAAATTACATCACACCAACAGGAAGAGGAATGAGCACAACATCCATATTTTCAAAATAAGACACCATAATTTTGTCGAAATTGCAGCTATAAATGGATATATTTCTACACAAATGCTGTCAGAATGTATTGTTCTGTTTGGGAAGCAGATGGCAACATGTTGCATGAAGCATATGTGTACACACACACAATACACGTGGATTTTATTTTGAAATCAGAAGTTTCAAAAAGACAACAGCGAGACAGTTTCAACCATAGATATCAAAAGCTTTTATATCAACGTTTTCAGCTGTGTTTAGAGTTCGTCTTTCACAGAATTCAAAAAGAAATAAATAAATAGGTCCTCTGGATGGGTTCTTCTTTAGTGAAACGTTTCGTCTCCTCCAAGAGAC